AATCATTATTTTTCTTCAAAATCAAACAAAGGAATGTTTTTTGTATGCGGTGCAGGGATAAGAAAGGCCTACAGAGTGGTAGAGGATTGGAATTATTATTTAACCAAGATCTCAGTTAATTAAAAAGCAGACAAACCTAGAGAATGTGGAAAATACATGGTAGAGGTAGCTAAGCTAAGTATGAAAGTTAGTATGAAGCTAGAAGTGAAAAATACATTGCAGTATCACTTAGGTGTCAGCAATGTGTAACCATTAAGTGAGACACGGAAAACCAGAAAGGACAGTTTTACTGACACAAATAAGTAAACATAGAAATAAAACCCCAAAAGGGAAATGAGCACACAGACAAAGCGGCAATAAACAAACTGTACACAAGATGAACAGCCAGAGGAATAAATAAGCAAAAACAAAAATAAATGCCAACAAGTAAGGCAGATGCAAAAAAACCAAGCAGCTGTTAAGGAAGAGAAAAAGAAATTGAGCAAATGTTACATGCAAGTGGAAGAAAATCCCACTGCGTGGAATTTCAGGGCTATATCCTAAAATGCCCTCATTTCTGTGAATTCTATTGGAGAATTTTAATTGTACAGGTAGTATAGGTGGACAACAGTTGGTGGAGGCTTTGAGTTATTTGTTTCCATTCTTTCATTTGTTTTCTGAAAAGAGCAAAGGCTTTTTTCCTGAAGTACGTGGGCATATTCACTGCTGTGCATGTTGCAGATTCCCATAAAGTCAAGCATTTGTGATGCTGCCCAGAGCCATGCCTTAGGGGCCTGTATTTGCAAAGTCTGTACAGTGAAGGATTCAACTTTTGGTGGAAAAACTGGTGCTCAGAGACTGGTGGAAATACCATCTATCAAATATAGAATATCTTTATCTAATAAATTAATTTAAAAACATCCTGCTTTAGTTTTGGTTTTCCCCTCTTCAACTATTCCCTCTTATTAAAGCTTCAGTGCTGGATGAATACTTTACCTTACCGCCTAGGCTATAATGGGGGTTATTGGAAGAAAAAAAGTCATATATTTTTAAATCAATGTATGTGTTTTTTCTAAACCAAAAACTTTCATGTTACTTTTTTGTTATTAAAATATCTCCTTTTCTTTGCAGTAGAGAAAGTTAACAGAGTTTCAGAAATGTAGTTCGGGAGAATTCTGATGCTCCCATTTCCATTGCATTTTTTTCTTGACGCTTACGCAAAAATAGTTCTTTGGTTGTACTATTTCTTACTTGAAGTTTTGTGCTTTTCTTCATCACTGTGGATGGCATTCATCTCTGCCAGAATGTCTACTCCATTTGCTGAAGAGTCCTGTTAAGAAGAGCTGTGCTATCTGCAAACTTTGGGTTAAAACCCCCATTCTCCAGGTATCAAAGACAGATAAAAGCACAGTCAAAACCTGGCTTCAAGCTCATTTTGAATTCTAGTGTTGCTCTGTAAGCCGTACTTCTTTTAGGGCAGGAAACAGAAGTGCGTAGACAGAATTCACAGAGAATGGTTCCTACCGGAACACAGGTGAGAAGAAAATCATGGGTTCATTCATTGTTTTGAAAGAAGAGCTGGAAGTGCTGAAGTTCTTTGCCCCTGCAGGTTATCTTATGATCATGCCACCCAGAAAAAAGCTTGATAAGAAAAGACTGATTAGGATGCAAAAGAGTTGTTTAGAAAAGGATGTTCACACAGAAGCTGTTTGAAGACAAGCTTTTTTAGATCGTTTCCATCTTCCCTATGATACCCATTTCAGCTGCTTTCTCAGCCATTCTGTCGTATCCAAATGCATTGTACAAAATAAAAAAAAAAAGCTTCTTCAGTGGTTTGAGTATTGATCGATAGCGGGAGACGTGAGTTCACTAACCTCTGCCAGTGTCTTGTGTGGTGTTGGGCAAGACCCCTCTGCATTAATTCCCGATGAGTAAAGTGCCGTTGTCTTACAAAGATGTTGTGAAGAAAAACTGTATCAAGATGTGTGGAGCTCCCAGCTACGGCAGAGTCGGGGCCATATAAGGAATCTTGTGGACATGGTCCTGTAGTGCTTTTTTTAAATTTATGCTATAGTGCTGGGAAATTTACATCACAAAGTGTGAAATCTGTATTATCGGAGGCAGATTTTAACCTTTTCTAAGCTTTCTAAGCTTTTCTTTTTCATCTGCTGCACACAAGATTTATGTCTCACCCAGGCTAAATTTATGTGTTCATTAGAAATGTGAACTAACTCATACTGCCATTTATAGTTTGTAAAAATATTTGCACTTTCTATTAAACATGTCAAAGCAGTGTGCATGAATCCATAGCTTCCAACATTTAAGCTATAAAATAATTGGGAGTCTAGTCACTTCTTAATTAAAATAACCTGAAAGTATTCCATTTAATGGCTTCATAACTGGCATCTAAACATTTACTTCCAGCTTTTTGGTGTTATATTAGAGAAGAACAGAAGTGTCTGCAGAAAGCAGTCTTGAAAAGTTGTCTATATGTATTGATTTTTATAGTGCCATTTGAAAAAGTTGAATGCATCTGAATACAGAAATATGGGTACATAAAAAATTTTATTACAGCAGCCATAAAAGATACTATCATCCCTTTGGGTCTTTGTTTATTGTTTAGGGATGCTTATAACAAATGAGTGTCTTGCAAATACAGAATCAATGTGTTTTGGGCAATTTTTTTTTCTCTTGATATATATGCTTTGTGAGTGTCTCTCTGGAGCATCCTTCTAGATGAAGTGAGGCAGGGCTGTTGCATGGGGAAATGCAGTATGGGAGTGCTGGACCATCTTTACATTAGCAGACTAGTGGGTGAGGCTGCCCATCTATCCAAGTGACAGAAATAAATTATATAAAGTACTGACTCAATTGAATTTGATATGTCATTGAACAATGGGATCACTTGAGCCTAAAAAACCTGGCACTGGCATTTCAGTTACCAGTTTCCCAGCTTTTTGCATTTGGGATTGTGTTTATGCTTTACCCAACATCATAATAGAGGAAAAAAACCCAAACCAAAACACTTTAATTTGGGTTCTTGAAACAAATGCCTTGTGTTGCGGGAACCCAGTGTAAATATAAGCTGCACTTGTGGGTCAATATTCAAGTTTCAGCAATTGCTAAGACAGGCATTGCATTCTATTCAGAAAGATAGTTACAGTATTTTAGCTAGCTGTTGGTGTTTTGTTTTGCTTTGCTTTTTAAGAAACATTTCATGGAAGCATATCAGTCCCATGAAAATTTTGCTAGAAATACATATGTCTCAGTTTCAGGGTGCGATTTTAGAGACAGGTAGCAGAACAGTTTTGCAATCCTTAATATGAAACTTTTAATATGAAAGTCTAAGGTTAAGATCCACAAGAAAAAGTGAAAGAATTGCAGAAGTCTGGAAAAGAGAAGCCGTAATAATGATTCTTGAATACATGAAAAATTCTGGCCAAAAAAGAAGGAAATAAGGTGTGCTCCCAAGATTTTCCTGGTAAAATCTTGCAGTGGTTGAACCAAATAGCCACCATCATCATCTTAAGACCAGTGGAAAACCATTCATAATTCTCACTTCAGGCTTTAACTGTGACTAAAATAGCATCAGTAGCACAAAGATGCCCCTGGAGCTGTTATATTAATGTTTTTCTTAAAACGGAAGCTTTGATGTGAATACCCATTGGAAGTAACTTCTCGTGATAATTTTTGAGGTGGGGACTTGTGGAGGATTTTGATGATGTCTCCACTGATACACATGCTTTAGACAACCTTTGCTGCAAAATTTCACCATTGCTAGAAATTAGGTAGCTCCATAATTGTCTCATACTAAAAAGGCTTCCTGAGAATTTAGGTCTTTCAACCTATGCTCAGTACATTAGATGTTGTAAAAGTGACGACTTGAAAAAATGAATGATGAAATAGGAAATCTGAGTAAGATTATAGATTTGCTGAAAAGCTGAATTTTTATTTAGAAAATTCCACCAGTCTTTTGCAAGCAGAAACTGGACCCCAGAGCATCAAAAATTTGTCTGTAAATCCATTCAGATAGATTTTTTTTTTTGATGATTGCCTTACTTCTGAAAGATAAACTTCTCCCATCTAAAGCCATTAGAGAGAATGCCACGAACCATTGATTCCAGCCCACAAGAGAATTTTATGATGCGAAAGAAGGGGATTTTTCAAAAGATTTTTGGCAAAGCCTCCTCTCTGTCCTATCTGACTGCACTACTTGCAGTCAGGAAAGCACTGCCTTCTTCCAGAACAGCGTATGAAACAATATCTCAGGGGAAGGAGATGGTTAAAGAAAAGGGAAACAGTGTTGATGTTTTGTCTTTAAGAGAAGGTGCAGATGCACTATACATAAATCATCAAACTTGCTGGAATACGCTTTGTATTAGGAAAAAGGATTTTTTTTATTTTAAAATGTAACAAAACTATGATGGAGAGACTGCATTAGAATCAGTGAGGAAATGTCATGTTATTTTACAATCCTGACAAGTTAACATCTGAATCAACAACTTTGCACAAAATTTCAGGAAAAATAAAGGCGCTTTCAATCTAAGAGCACACTCTGTATTCAGTAAAATTGTAGATTATTCATACGTATTATAGAAGCCAAGTCATTAATATTAAATAAGTAAAAATGTTCGAAGGACTTCTTGAAATTTAAATAGTACAGAACAAATTCTACAGTTAAATTCATATCTGAAATTCCCATGATCCATAATTCTTCACACTTGAGAGCAACTTTAGCAGTTTCAAAACATATGCAGGTAATGTGTGTTGAATAGTATTTAGCATAGGAAAGAGTGATTTTTTAAATTGGGTTTTGTAAAACACAACCATTGTAATGGGCCTGTGAATTAAAGAATGTGGAGCATGCCAATATGACAGACAGCTTAATACTGTGCTTTAATAAGCATTACTGTGGAAGCATTATACTGACAAAAGTGAAGGTACGTTCTGCAAAGAACCCAGCATCTAAATGGCACACAGAGAGAATTTCCTAATATTTTGTGTTGGTTTTTGTCTTCTAGAGTATCAGGGCTTCAGGGCTGGTGCTGTTGGAAACCATTCTTTTTGGATCACTTCTTCTGTACTTCCCAGTAAGTCAAACTATAACTTTTTTGAAAAATTATATCCGTGCCGACATTTTAAAACATTGTATGAATCACCTTGGTGAAAATATAAATGTCAAAACTATTTATCTAATGATTAGTTTAATCTGACTATAAAATGTGCTGTGTTCTGTAAATATTCTTAAGAACACTTGAATGTTTTACTATATTTGTAATAATTCTCCATTTTCAGTTTAGGGAACTTTCCAGTGTTTTTTACTTGAAAGTTTTTAGGTCTTCTGGGTTAAGCTGAGTTTTTGCTTTGAAAGACGATACCTCTCTAAACTATGCTATGGGAAAAATACGCAAGGTGTGTAAAAGGAAGACACTGATTATACCAAGTATTACTCTGGAACGTAGTACAAATGAGAGTAATTATTTCAGTGTATTACTGGCATATATTTTGACGTTTCTGAAGCTACGTGACATCTGCAATACCATGTATTTGGGAAAATGAGATGGTATTAACCCTATGCTGTAAGTGGGGAAAAAAAAAGTAATTTCACAGTCGCGTAAGGAATATATCACAAAACTCATAGAAATCTAGATCCTTTCTCTTTTCAAAAATCCCAGAAAACCTGAGTTTGTTAATTGCCACATAAACCCAATATAATGGCTAGATAAAGCAAGGCGTCAAAGTGTAAATTGAATGAAGTTGATAGAAAGTGTGCAGATCAGGAGACAGAAACAAAGATGAAGTTGTGGATTATTTTAAAATATGTTTACGTTCTCTTTTCCTCAATAGTCAGAATCTTCTGTGCTTTTACAGACCATCATGTAGTTATTGAGCAACTAGCTGGAAAACAAAACTCCTTAGCAGTTGCAGAACAAGTAGCAAATAAACTGTAGTAGAATGAGGTGTGAAGAATACTATAATAAACATAAATCCCAATGGAGTTTTTATACAATATTTTTTGAATCATGTGGGCCTTTCAAGTTCTAAAGAAAAAGTGTGCATTTTTAGGATAGTTTTATGTGTTTTTTCATCTTTCACTTCGCAGGTGTCAGGAAGAAAGAAGTTTTGGTTTTTTCCATATTGTACAAATGCTTTTTACAACTTGCAATACCTCTCCCTGGGGTTTTCAGAGCTTCTTTCATATTCTTTTCCAGTGAGCAGAACAGAAAGCCCATGCACTGCTTCCTCAGCTGATGTAGAAAAGCTGTGAAGCATTTACAGAAATTCACAGCATAACATGAGGGGTTTCCTTTCCATGGCTGTCTCCTCTTTGCTTTCCCAGAGAACCCTGGAGCCATATAGTGGCTTCCCCAGGTAGAGGGTCCATAAGAACCAGTCAGTGTTTGTACAACCTCAGCTCTAAAGTATGCCAGAAGCCTCATAATAGCTCTTGCTGTGTCTGCAGTCTTCCCATCTGTCACTAATTCTTCAGTTTCTTTCCCAGTTCTTGTCTTGATGCTCTAATTGTTGTATTTCACAAAGGACAAATGTCCTTTGGTGGCTGTCTAGCTTCAGGTGCTCAGCATCAGGGATACTGAGATACTGTTGGTGGAAGAAGACTTCTCTCTCAGCAGTTGACTTGAAGAAGAACCATCCTGTTAGATGCAAGAGATGGCCATCCACAACCTTTAAATGCAGAGGGAGGGGTTCGATAACCAAAGCAACCCCTCAGCTTTTTGCTGATGTTTAAACATTTCCCCCTTTTTTTTCAGACATTAACGATGTTAAATGTATAGCAGGTACAAAATGACAATTTGGTGTACTCTGAGGAAAAATCTTTTGCTGAAAATTCCTGATTATCCTGTGTCCCAGTTGGGATGTAGATACTTGACTAGAGCTTGTCCTCTCTGCACATCTCATTCTCATACTATCTAAAACTGTCCACCGAGAACACGTTCTGTTAGAAACTAATATGCAAAGTGTATGACCTGACTTCTCTCTTATAGCAGTTTTATGCTCCTACACTCTTTGCTGGGGCTCTCTTTCTTTCTTACACAGGTAATTACTAATCAGGCTGTTACTCCTACAGGCCGAAACAAAAAAGAGAGAAATTGTATCGTTTCTATTTTCAAGGTCTTAGGGGAGGTATGTAGAGAGTGTGGTAGTGGGAGGTCATGTTAATGTTCAGACAGAGAAATTAATCCTGATTTCACCAACCGCAAGAATATGGTTTTGTAAAAATCAAAGACGATTGGGACTGATACAGAAATATCAGGATTTCAATATCCCTGTCCCTCAATTCACTGCAAGGAAGATCTCATTAATTTCTGATCCAGGACAAGACAGTGGAACAATAAATGTGTGAAGGCTATAAAGCATAGCCCGAGAGGTCTATTATATAATCTTTAAGAAAGAAAAGCCTGTGTTTCTGCAAGATGTGAATTATGGGGTGTGAGTCCTTGGAATGTGAACTCTTGACATTTTGCTGTACATGGACAGTATCTAAATGTTCACCTGCTTCTTTTCTGGAAAAGGAGCACAAAGCAGAGCAGGATGGCGTGAGAAAGAAAGAAAACCCGAGCTCTAAACGGAGAGTCTTGTTTGCACCAGCTGACATTCACACACATGTTCATTCATAGCAAGGTGTAGACCATAGATTATCAATTATCATATTGGTTATAAGTCACATACATGCAAAGCAGATTTTCTTTTTCCTGGGTCACATCCATTGTTTATTTACTTCTTCCTGTTATTTGGTGTTTTTATTTGTTTCTGAGAAGAATTGGGAATATTCTGTAACTCAGTGATGTGGTTAAAGACATAGTAATGTGCGTACAGAGGTAGAGTTGTTTCAACTATTTGATTTGGTCCTCAGTTTATGGTAGAGAAGTACATTAGAGCTTTAAGACTAATTAATACAGATCTCACCTCTTATACACCCAAATTAGGCTATGTTTTCCACAGGTAGCATGAAGTGCAAGTTAAAATACGGAATGGAGTTCACCAGTTTGGTGTGAAGCATCCAGTAAGGTGTTCTCCTTTAACATAAGGCTGTTTTCCTTTTTGTTTCATCTCTTCTTCTCTTGTGATTTGGAAGGTAAAACCAAAAAGCTTTACTTTCACGCTCAACTAAGTGCAGAATTACACAGCTTGCCTTAGTGCATATACAATGTAAAGAGATAAAATGACAGCATTTCAGTTCTAAATAACTCAAATCTCTGTTCATTTAAGCATTCAGTGCAAAATTACATTCTTATTTAAAAATCAAAATCCCCTTAGATTTTCTCAACACTGCTTTAAGTCTTTTGCATCTTTACTCTCCGCTCCTCTACACTTTCCTAATTCTCGTTTTTTCTAGATCCATTCACCCAGTCTGTCTTGGATTGTTTTGAGAGTCTTCAGCATACAAATTTCGCTGTGTCCAGAAGGGCTTTATTGCATCTCTGACTTTCCTTACCCTCCAATTAAATGGAAACCAAAACCTACTTTGTTACATCGATTAATTTCTTTCACTAATTGTCATTGTTTTCATGTCTACATGCAGTAATCTATTCGTAGTGTAGCATCATTAATTGAAAAATAATATCACCAGCCAGCTGCCTTTGGTGAGAAAAACAGCTGTTACAATGCCCGTCTAACCAAATGGGAAGTGCAAATGATGGTCTCCACCAAAATTTATTATTCAAATTCTGCTATATTGATAACAACACACTGATCTTTCCTGAATTATAAGCAGGCAGATGAGCTTTGTCTATTACAAATGCATAGATTTTACCCAGCAGTTGCTGGGCAGCTCTCATTTCTGAGGCTCTCATTTCTTACATTATCTCTAGTTCTCACAGTAACATCTCTGATTTCCCTTTACTTAGTCTTTCCAGTTATTAATGGACGTCCTCCAAATGAATGCTGGGCTTTCTAATTGATTTCGCTTATATTTCTTTGTTCTTAGATTTTGAAGAGAGGGCCAAAACCTGACTGTTTTATGGAGGAGTCTCTTAACTTCTTGGCATCTGAGGGGAGGATTCTCATTACTTTCCTTTTGCAGAAATACTGACTGTGGTGGAGCTTTTAGACCTTTCCTAACTCCCTATCTTGCTAACACTTGGAACACATCTTGCATTAACACGCATTAATCTTTGTGTGTTGCAAAGACCTTCAAATAAAATGAGCACAAACACAATATTCTAATAGAGTAGCCTGTTAATTGCATTAGGGGTCAGATCTCAGCTGATTTTAGACATCTGTAATGGACACAAGCTGGAAAATAGGAAATTCTGGTTAGAGACCAGGAAACATTTTTTTACCATGAGGGTGATCAAATAGTGGAACATACTGCCCAGAGAGGTTGTGGAATCTCCATCCTTGGAGGTATCAGGACTGGACACAGCCCTGAATGAGCTGACCTGATTAGACCTGCTTTGAGCAGCGGGCTGGACTAGATGACCTCTGGAGCTCCCTTGCAAGTGAAACTACTCTGTAAGTCTGTGTTTCTAGTATAGGCATCCATAGCTGAAACAGTCATCCTACACTCAGCAAATAGTGAAGAGAAACAGGGCCTTTTATGACTCATTTTAGACTTCAACTTAAGGATGAGGTGGATCATGGCCTAGGCTCCTCTGACTGTAAAAGAAGCCTGGGGTACTTGCCTCAAATGGTGATGAATTCCACCCTAGGCAACTGTGGGTTATCTGATATATTAAACATTTTCCTAGTCTACTTTAACTGAAAGTCCAAAAGGCACTCCAAAATCCGTGTAATATTATGATATCATTTCTAGAGCCAGTGATAAAAGTTACTGAGTACCACGATGCAAAGAGGAAGGGAATAATTTCTTCTCCATGTTCTTGATTTGGCAGATAAGAAGTACTGGGTTTAAATTTCAGCAAGTGAAAGTTATATTAGACAGTGGGGGGGGAACCTTTATAACAGTGAGGTCAGATAAACCATAACGTGAACTAGCTTAGGAGGCTGTGGAGTATCTTTTTAAAGACTGTTAGGATTTTTCCCTTCAGTCTTCTCTTCTTTTGGCTGAAGAATCCAAATTCTTTGTCTTTACTGCTATCCCTTGTTTTTCTAAACCTCTAATTATAGT